TTCATTATATAAAATTAGCATTTCTCCGTATCTGTCAAGACTTCTCACATCCTTATTAAAATAAAAGAGGCCACATGCACTACTGCCCTTAGAGTTGGATCATTTAGGATTGATTGAGAGCATGCATGAGGATTCTTTAAGGACTTCTTGCTTTAAGGAAATTTCAAGTCGGTTCTTTCCACCAGTCACCTTACGCTAGGTACCATAATGAAGTACCTTATTACTTCATCAGCAGAATGAGCACTTTATGCTTTCTTTTCTGCTTTTCGTCTACCTCTGAATCCTTTATTCTCTCTGAGGAATGTGTATCAATTCTAACTTTTTATCAGCACTGCAAGATGAAAGTTTACCTGGTCTATACCCATTATTGTACACATGAGAAAACTGGAAGTGTCTTCAAAAAAGTTTCACAGCATAATGGGTGACAGAGTCAGAAACAAAACCCTGCCCTTTCTCCCACCATTTATGCTGCCTGTTACTAAGTCTGCTTCTGGGCAAATTTAACGTTTTCTGAACAGAAAGGAGTCGAGACTATTCATCCATCAATATAGTAGATGCTTTCAATGTGGAAGACCACAGGCTAAGTATTGTGCAGGATGCAGTTTTATAAACTGAAGCTCTATGCTCAGAATTAGAGTTTGGTAGAGAAGATCAGATAACATTCACAAACAACTTCCGTGCAGAGTGGTTAAAGATATGTCCCCATACACAGAGACCCACCAGAGCATTGATTCATTCACTCAGCAAGTATGTATAGAATATATCTTTTGTGCCTGACACTACAGTGAGTTCCATGAGGACACAAAGGTGGAGAAAAACAGACTCCACCACCAAGAATCTTAAAACAATACATGTCCTCACATCACCAGTATCTGAGAATTTGGAAAGTTGTAAAGTATATTTTAATCCAGTTAACAGTAATATATAGTTAGGTTTATTAGAGATGGTTCCATTTGAGCTCTTTTGAAAGACTGGAAGTGAGGCATTAGAGGATTAGGTATGAGGGGTTTGCACTCTGTTGCAGAGCTGTGGAAGGGTATTAAGTAGGGCCTGCCATGATCAAGACTTTGGGAAGATCTAATTTAGCAGCCTGGATGTGAGAAGGAGTGACTTGAGGAAGGAGAGGGCCCAGACAGCACTGTCAGTAGTTTACACTAGTGGTGACCTGAAGAGGGCTGGTAATAAGAGGGATGGGTAGCATGCTTGCAACAGATTTTGAGGATGAGGGTAGACAGCTCTGGGAGCTGAGTGTTGGGTACAACAAGGGCAGTTATCAAAGATAACTTCAAAATATCAAGAAAAGATGAAAAGCATTTAAAGGAATTGAATAGAGTTCCATTTCATATAGTGCTAAGTATGAGCTACCACACATGTTCCCAGTGGAGACGACTAACACTGAGTTGCAAACAGGGTCCTGGGGTACAGCAGGAATACTTGAAATTAGGACTAGCAAACACTTTGTCCAGGAGGCCACACTACAAGTCATAAATATGGGAGTAAAATTGAAAGAAATCTTTGTTAAGAGAAAAAAGGAAAGCAAAACCTTGAGAAATATTTACATGAGTGATAAGCAAGAGAATGAAGAATGAATAAAAAGAGGAAAAGACAAGGGGGGTGTCGAAGAGAGAGGAGAAAAAAACAGGATAGCGCAGAGAGACCATCAGGGAGAGGAAAGGTCAGCAGTTAGTATCAGGTGTCACAGATCCCAACAAAGGAGAGACCTAGGAAAAGATTACCTTGGGTTCCGGGATTGCCAGCCTCCTGGTTGCTGTCAAGAAAGCAGAATCAGATGTGTCACAAAAAAGATCATAAAGAGGGGTTCAGGAGCAAACATAGGATAAATGGGAAAGCAACTATTACAATGTACTTTTTAAAGAAGTTCAATATTTTAAAAAGAAACAAGGAATGGGTAACTCAAAAGTGGAGTAATGAATATTTTTATGATACAAGAGTTTCTAGCCCATTATAGACTGAGAAAAACCAGAGTTAAGGGAGACTCTGCAATTAAATAGGCAAGGTGAGAGGGAACTAGATCTTCCATTTCACAGGGCAATGGGAATGGTAAATATATGTAAAAGGAATTTGAAGGCACTACCCAAGCCCAATGAGGCAGTAATTAGATTATATTGGTTCTTTCTCTACTTATTTTCAAAATTGCTTTCTATTCTTTTTAACTAATGAGAAATAATGTTTTGCAAGAATTATTACTTCACAAATATTCACTCAGTTCCTTACCCTCAGTAATCTCTGAACGCTATGTAGAGGATAGGTGTCATACACTTTGAGCATTTAAATTATCTTAACAATTTTTAAAACCATTTTTTAGAACAATTGCTGTTTTTAAAACAACAATTAAAGCCTAATCCTTTAAAAGCCATGTTCTGTGTACTTCTTTCATGATATGCCCAATTCAGGTAGCTCTGTAATTACCAGTAACACACCTATGTGTTGTTCTCAAGTCCTCCTTCATTGTCATGAGACATCCTCAAATTCGTTATTTGTAGGGGGTTTTCAATTTGTTTACTTAAACTATGCTGCTTTCTGTGATGGTCCAAGACATTCCAAAGGCCAATGCCACCTGGACACAAAGTATCTTATATACTTTTAGGATGGTGATCTGTAACCAACTGAATCAAATGTTACTTTGTTCTACTTGTAAATTACCTGTAAAACTAAATAAGGAGATTATTTTGTCACTACTGAAAATTATATAAACAACCATATGGAAGAATTTTGAACATGAGTCTTTATAATCTCACAAGGCCAAATGAATTCATTGTTGATGTCAAAATTGACCTTGAGGAGTTTTCCTTTCCTCTCCAATTCTAAAAATGATTTTCCTCCTACTTATTTATCCTCACTAGTTTTAGCTTGGTTATGTTATCAGTTTCATACCGAGATATTAGAACAAAGTGTACAAAATTTTTAAGAAAGCTTGGTGTGGCATGCAGAATATTACACAAAGAGTTTCAAGAAACAATAATCGAATTAACTTTGTCATTCTTTTGCTGTAATCACTTTCATACCTATGTAATCACTTATTATCTCTGTCTCATATCTTAACCAGGTATTTAGATGTAAAGGAGATAATGAAAGAAAGGTGCATATAAGTTTGAACTACAAAACATAACTCTGTGTCTAATGGAAAAGACACATGCAAATTCTGAACTAAAACTTTTAGACGTTAACCCCAGGTGAAAGGAGACACACCATTTTCTCGGGAAAATACTATAGGTCTTTACATGTAGGCCTGAATGGATTTTTTCCAATTTTTAGAAAACCTCAGAAATCTGGCCCTTTCCATTTTATTCTTGACCTAAAGGTCCCAGATGGGTGACTAGATCCTGGGATTCCTGAAATGGCCTAAGTAATTCTGGGTTGACATGCTGACTGGCACTGCAAAGCAGGCCTGGTTTCACTGGGCAGTGATACAGGCAAAGCATAGGCCCACCCCCCAGCCCTGCTCCAGAGCAGGGGTTCTTGTCCTGGAGATTTTGGACTCCACTGGTACCATGACTGGGCCTTTCTCTTAGAGGTTCGTATTCTTTCCTGCATGTTGTTCTGGGACTGTGGTTTAAAGATTTTGTTGTATTGGGGTCAGAGAACTAAAAGAAGGAAAAAACCACTTCCCCAGGACATATCCTAATCAGAATCTGCATCCTCAAACCTGGCCCCCAAGAGTGAACTAAGAAGCAAGGAGGAGAGGTCCCTGTGAATATTCCAGTGCAAAATGGCTCCTGATGCCCTCTCGGATCCCTCCAATATGCCTTCAGGGCAGGGGCAGGTCTGATAACAGGCTACTAAAGCTGTTTCTTGAACATGTTGATAATGGACGAAGATTGGGGCTATGCCTTATTTTCCAATATTCAGAAAATATTTTTTCACACCCAGGGTCTAGTTATTTGCTCTTATTAACATGAACTTCAGCCTATGAATGCATTTTATGTGCCTTTAATTAACCTCCCTATGTTTCCATTTCCTCATGTGCATAATCGCATAATGAGAATAAAAATAGTATCTGTCTCATGGGATTATTAGAAGGATACAACACCATATGTAAAGCCCTTAAAGCAGCACCAGAGAAACACCCAGCACTCCATGAGGTTGAGTGTCAGCTACAGTTGAAGTGTTTTAAAATTATTAATATGAACTAAAATGATACAATAAAGCAGAATCAGATGTGTCACAGAAAAATACCATAAAGAGGGGTTCAGGAACAAACATAGGATAAATGGGAAAGTAACTATTACAACGTACTTTTTAAAGAAGCTTAATGTTTTAAAAAGAAATAATGAATGGGTAATTCAAAAGTGAAGTAATGAATGAAAGGATAGGTGCACTATCCTTTCCCTGTGAGAATGAGACTGAAAAACTCTAGATCTGTAGGAGAAGAATGTGTGTAACAGAGTCACCTCCTTCACTTCAAGAAAAAGCCAGTGCCCCTCTGCTTGTCCCTTCTTGGATTCAAACTTAAGTAGACTGGGAAGCTTCTCCATTATCTTTTTGCCTTTTTTTATTTTCCCGTTTTTTTTGTTTTTTTTTTTTTTTTTTTTTTTTTTTTTCTAAAAATGAAAGAGGACTGATATGCATCATCTTATTCTTACAAAACACCCCATTTTACAGATAAGGAAATTGGAACTCAAAGAAGTTTCAAAATCTCTCTGAATGTTGTCTTCTTGGCATAGGGAAGGGTTAGAGAATTATTAATATTATAGCATTACATTCTAGTGTTAATCTATTAAGTTCCTTCTTGTCTTCAAGTGTATTCTAGTGAATAAGAGATTTTCAAGCTGGGCTCAGTGGCTCATGCCTGTAATCCCAACACTTTGGGAGGCCGATGTGGATGGATCACTTGAGCCCAAGAGTTAGAGACCAGCCTAGGCAACATAGTGAAACCCCGTGTCTACAAAGCAATTAGCTGGGCATAATAGTGTGCACCTGTAGTCCAGCTACTTGAGAGGTTGAGGTGGGAGAAACACCTGAGCCCAGGAAGTCAAGGCTGCAGTAAGCCATGATCATGCCACTGCATTCTACCATGGGTGACAGACTAAGACCCTGTCTCAAAAAAAAAAAAAATCAAAAAAAACAGAGAGAGATGTTCAAATTATAGGGAATGGATATGTGTGCTCTATTACCTCAGAAAACATTGCAGGATCTGTACATTCACCTATGTGCACCCATCTACAATCTGCCCATTTCACCTTAGGTGCCCTTTCATCAACACATTCACCTATGTGCACCCATCTACAATCTGCCCATTTCACCTTAGGTGCCCTGTCATCAAAGCACCTTCCAGTCAGGATACCTGAAGAGAGCAAATCACCAGATCCTTAGAATGAACAAACTTTTATGCTACCATATTAGAAAGCCCTTTGCAAAGAAAAATACTTACAAGTAAAGAAATGCATCTTTTATTTTTTTCAAAGTCAATCTGCTTGATGGTTTGAGAGTTGTCTGAAATAATTCAAAAGAGAGGTAAGCTTAGAAGAGTAAATGAGTTTCACTTCCAAAGAGGATTGTTTGTAATCACCCTGCTTACTTACCTGCTTCCATTCTGAAGCCGTCTGCAGTACTTGGAAAAAGTGTAATCTTAAAAAATTCAGTAACAGTCACTGGCTGACTGTACCTAGGGTACCCTCCCTGTTCCGTGGTGCTCACAGTTTTTGGTAATGCATGGAGATAATTTCAGATGTTTGCTTCTCTTAACTCCTGAGCACCTTTGCTTCTCACTGTGGAATTCTAGAGACACATGGGTATAGAACTTGATCTACAAGCCTCCTAGTAATAGTTGCAGATTAGGTAGAAAGCCAAGCTAGACTGTACACAAGTCTGTATAAATCCCAAAACAGAGCTTTAAAATAATAACTTACTGAGTCATGATTTCTGCATCTCATATGCAGTATTCCTTAAATCACATGTTGATGGCTAATCAACAAAATCCAAAGACGCAAATTAGATGGTACAATATTTACAGAGAAAATATATGTGTAGTTTGAAAAGCAAGGATTCTCAGGGTTACACTCCCACCCCTATTCCCCCCAGAAATGATAGCAGTTGCAATCTGAACTATCAACATTGTAGCCAAGAAAGGAATGAATATAACAATTAAAAAAGAGAGATTTAAGATAGAACTTCTTACTCAAAGGAGTCTGGACCTTCAAGAAATATGTTTAAGAAAGATTCGGAAGAAATACTAGGTAAGATGAATTATTCCTTTTACTCAAATAACATTCTAGCAGTGTACTTGTTAAATGTTTATTTTGGCCAGATGACAGAATTCAGGAGGGCAGAATCTTGTTTAGCTTGTCCTCTGCTGAATCCCTAGCACCCAGCAAAGTGCTTATACAAATTAGGAGTAGGTGCTCAGCAAATGTTTGTTGAATGAATAAGTGAATGTGGTGGGGAGAATGAAGCTAAAGTAATGGTATAGTGCATTTGTAAGCATTTAGCCCATTTGTAAAAATAACGGTACTAATTTTTTACCCAATTCTTTTTTTTCATTCAGCAGACCTACAAAAACAAAACAAAGTGTATCACAAATACCCTCTGCTTTTTATGCTGAGGAAACAGGAAAGCTTTCTTTTGATTGTAGGCTGCTACATGTTTTAATTCTAATAGCAATATGGCAGGTCAACTTTGTAGTATAATCTGGTGCCTGTTTTTGATAGATATCATGGAAATAGATACTTATTTTCAAGATGCTCAAACAGATGATTAGGCGAAAGCTCTAGCAAACCTTGAAACAACAAAAAGAAAAGGTTTTCCCACTCCCACCTCCCATTGCTGTAACATCCTGCACAGTTTTCTGCAACCCCACATTCTCCTCCTTGTTTCATCCTTTTCCTGGGTCTAGTCTTTGTCTAGGGAATACGGCATGTGACTGTCAGTCTAGCAAGGAGACAGTTCTTGAGAAATCCACCCCCTACACACTGTGTTCCCAAGCTCCTCTTACGGGAATGGCATGATTTGATCAGCAGCAGGCAGAGCTGGCCCAGTGAAACAAGAGCTTGGCATAGAAATCGTAGTGCCCTCCTGCTGGAAGGGCCCTCAAGAGACTTGCTTCATGCCCACCCTCCCTCAACTAGCTGGACAGTAGAAGGATGTGTAGAAAAACAAATTCCTGGCTGAATGAATAGAGGATTAAATGAATGAGAGATGAGTTCACTCCTCCAGAAGTCCCCGCCATCCCACTTGAATAGAAAGGCTAACTTTGAAGCCACTCTGTTCTCCATGGCACTATTTTGTGTATACTCAGCTTTGGAATATGGTTGCCATCTGCTGCCAGTGCTTAGGACTAAGGAAGTATTGGGGTGGGTAGGAGGAGGCTGGGAGGGAAGAAAAGAGACACTTAAAATGAGCTAATGATCTCCTTTGTGTTGGAGTCTAGGTTTCAGAACATCAGTCCTGTACTTCAAGAACAAAACACCAGTGTGTCTTAGACCACACCAGGCGCCGGCACATCAGATAAAGACTGTGCTGTGTGGTGTTCAGCCACTGAGCCTGGAGAAGTTCTAAAAGTGAAATTACAGGTGCAAACTGAGGAAACTAAAAGGAGAAAAGGCCAAGGGTAAAATACAATTAGGAGGGCTCTGCAGATATGTATCTTTGGGGTTACGGTAGTTGAAAAATGAATCTACTAATTAATGAGCTGGATAATACTATAAAGACAAGGAATTTAAGGATCTTTAGAAGAAATGAGACACTTTTCTATACATTCCGGGTACATTGCAAGCCTTTAGTATAATCTCAAGGTGAAAGTGACCTGGCTGTTGTGTATTGCTGTAGATTTAACTATTTATTAAGTGTTACTGATTGCTACACTAGAGGCATGCATGGTGCTCCTTTAAAAACAGAAAAGGCTGTTAAGCAAAGCCAACAAGACAACCGAACATCTCTGAAAGGCAGCGAATAGCTCATAGAGCTTCCTGGCTTCCCTGATATTGTTTGTATAAATCGTTGGGGGTTTTTGTTTGTTTGTTTGTTTGAGACACAGTCTCGCTCTGTTGCCTAGGCTAGATGCAGTGGCATGATCTCAGCTCACTGCGGCATCCGCCTCCAGGGTTCAAGTGATTCTCCTGCCTCAGCCTCCTTAGTAGCTGGAATTACAGGCATGCACCATCATGCCCAGCTAATTTTGTGTTTTTAGAAGAGATGGAGTTTCACCATGTTGGCTAGACTGTTCTCGAATTCCTGACCTCAAGTGATCCACCCACCTCAGCCTCCCAAAGTTCTGGGATTATAGGTGTGAGCCACCAGGCCTGGTCAAATTGTTGGTTTTTGATGCAAAATCATGTTAATAATTTATGTACTGAAATAACATACCGGAGAATAATAATTAAGCTGCGGATGTATGCTAGTGAAAAAAAAATATGACAGTGAAGTTTACTTTGGGAAAGGATTAGCTAATTCCCTAGGTATGACATTTGAAGGCCATGTACTATTATATATTCAATAGTAATCCTGTATCTTGAATTGGAGGAAGGCAGAAATTCTTTTTGCCATGCAAGGGAAGAACCTCATCAGCAATGTATGTAAGTATAAATTTAGAGACAATGACAATCCTAGAAATGCAAAATACCACTTTAGGGATCACTAAGTGATTGCTGAGCAGTGTGTCACACTCAGTGCCTGGGAGCAGCAAATCAGTACATATTTGTTGGCTGTGTAAGCTCTGGCCTTGACTCCTGTCTTCCAGCAGGAACGAGTCATGCACAACTGTGACTCAGCCACAATTAGAATATTAGTAATGCCTTAAATCTATCTCATGTACAGTTCCTCTTCCGAGGAACCTTATGTCCCTCCATATTCTGTTTGTCCCTACAACATCCCTGTGAAGCATACGCACCTTTTTACAGGTGGGATAACAGATCCACAAAGCAATAATTTAATTCTTTGTCTTCAGATGTGACATGATTGATAATCAGTATACTGACCCAGCTCGTTGTACTTACTGTTTTTCACATTATTTCAGCTTTCCTAGGCAAAGGACATATTTTATCTTTCTCATTATTATTTTTAATTAGTTTTTAGAAAAGGTGAGATAAAAACAGAATCTAACAAATAACCCATGGAGATATTTGGTGTTCTCTTTTCTTTCAAGAATAAATTAAGACCTTCTCTGCTCCTCTCTGCTGGCTCTCTCGGCAGATAGTCAAAATCCCATGCCAATTTTCAAATGAATAAGGGCTCATTCTAATAGCTGATCACAGTCCCCTCTGTTGAGGAAACAGCCTTTTAAATTCATGTCTGTACCCTGAATGAGTTACTTTTGGTTATAAACTTTAACAGTTTGACCTGAAGGTTTGTACTAATATATAACCTGGTTGTGAGTTCAGCAATAAATTTATACCAAGTATGTGAAGGGCCAAAGAGAAAACTATCGTCTTTTATTCTCTCTGGTGACCTTCACTAAATATTGCATATTTACTTTGTAAATGAGGACACCCAGTGGCCACCAAGAGAAAGTATTCTAAACAATCCTTGACACCACTGTTAACACCCCGTTATCAATGCTGATTGATAGATATTTCTGTAACATCTGTTACCAAGCAGGTTAGCTTCCCTACTTGGGCAAAAGTGATCAGAGTTTGGCCTGATCATTTTTATATCACATCATAGATTGGTCATCTCTTCTTATTTTTTATTACAAAGTATGGCTTAGCTTTGGGTTCTACTGAATCGTCTGTTGACAGGAGGACCCAGTGAGCTGTCTCTCTGGGGAAATGGAATCAGGGAGATAGAGACAGCATGGCATGTGTCAGAAATCATAAATGAAAGACCAGAGTTTGTGGGCAACTCAGTGAACACATAAAACAATTGCTTGGACTTTAAATTCATATTGAAATAGAGCTGTGGGTATGTAGGGAAATAAAGGACAAGAAGAAGAACATTATACAGAACTTCAGGGGCAGGAAAGCCCTCTCGGGGCCACACCACATAGACATATCTCAGAGTAAATGTGTGTGAGGTTCCCACTTATCAACATGTTTGTGAAATGCAATGAAGAGCTCACCAGACAAGTGCTCACATAGAACCTACACATTATAAGGAAACATGCTGGGCAGAATTGGGGATCCAGTTATAAATTTGTAGTTGTCACTGTTGTTGTGATTATAACAAGGTAAGACACTAGCCTTTGAGAGGCTTTGAGTCTTAGAGAGATAAGACAGGCACAAATGAAAAAGGAAAGAAAAGAGACAGTAACATATGTAAGAACTTATGTGGTACATGTGTGGGAAGTTCAGGTGAACTTCCCCAGCACTTCTCAACATTCAGGTACAAAAAAAATTCCCTTATTTTTCTAACGAAAATTAAACCTGAGGCCTTTGTCACCAAATTGCAAGAAACACAGTGAAGTTTTGGGACTCCCTTCTCGTCCCTAGATTGGTACAAGACTCATGAAATCTAGGGAGGGATCAGGTCCTTAGTCCATGGTGATCTCCATCATTGACATTGCTTGACTACCCCACAAAGATGCCATTGAGCCTGGTCCTTCTGTGATTGCCAGCACTACTGAACTAGCTGGGTTTACAGATGCCATCCACAGTGGTCTTTGCTGCTGACCACTGGCCCAGCCCCCAGATGATTACCGTTCCTCTCAAAGCAATGCCTTTTTATGTCCAGTCTCAAGAAGTATGGCAAGCAATTACCCCAGCTAGAGCTGTATGCAAGTAGAGAACTTGCTACCTTCCCTATTTGAGGGAAAGTTGATTGTTTTTCTCTCCAGTAATACTATCCCATTCTCTAACTCCAAAGCATCAATCAACCTCGCTCTCCTTTCCCCAGAAGGGGCCCAGATTAATAATTCATTTTAGAGAACAGAGATTAGGAAAGAAAACCCTTTGTTTTAAGGTTTCTTCTTTAGGGGTTAATGGGCTCTGAAACCACAACTCCCTCAGGCAAAGGAGCCTATAAAGTATACAGAAACCTGGAGGTTCTTTCATACAGGTGGGGGAAGGGAGAGATACCTTCTCATTAGGAAAGTTTTCTAATTCAGTGAGCACAAGCCAGAAATTAATGTCTCGGTTTATTACCTCACCAACCAGTGGAAACTAAGAAAAGAGAATTAAGGATGAACTCCAGTAATCACAGAAGGCTTCATAGAGAAGGAAGAAGTTTGAGTAGGGTTCATGAGGATGATAAAACTTGGTGAGAAGAGAAAGCACAATTACTTCAGAACTGCAGAAAAATTCAGCAGAAGAAAAGTAAAAATGAATGTAATACATGCACAGGAAAGCAAAATGGCCAACCTCTTGGATTAGCACAGAGATTTTATGTTAGAGAAAATGAAATCCAACCAAATAAGTAAAGTGAAAACAGATCATTTGAATGTTAGCTATAGCTGTAGGAGACTTCTATAGCTCAATGTTTTAATAATATGTAAATAATATTATATAAAAGAATATATAAATAATATCATAAAGATAAAATGCCTACTCATGATTAAAGTAATTACAAAGCAGCAAACCACCATGGTACATGTATACCTATGTAACAAACCTGCACGTTCAGCACATGTACCCCAGAGCTTAAAGTATAATAAAAATAATAATAATAATTACAAAGTATGCCTTCTATTTCACTTATTTACCAGAGCCTCCCAAGGTTTTGAATTCTCTCTAACATTACTTATTCTTCACCTTAGTACAAGCTAAAAAAGAACTTATGTCCTATTCATTTGTTTAAGGATTTCCTGTGCCTGGTTCTATAATGGATCACCCTAGGTGCACAGATGAATTTCAGCTACTCTCTTAACCTAGCCCATACAAATCACCTGAGTGCTTCCATTTTTCCTTGGCTTTTCCCTATTGCTTTGGGATAGAAAGTCGTTACTCCTCAGTAAAATGATCTATCATGGCTCAATTCCATAGAGAAATCTTGCATCCCCATCCTACCAACAACCAAAGATACTCTTGAAAAACAGCAGTCTCATTGGAAGCAACTTTTTTTTCAGTAAAACCCAAACAAAGAGAACATTTGAGCATGAATTTGAAGACCTGCTTCAAAAGCAGTTTCAGAATGACACAGCAATAGAGGACTAAAGGAAGTTCTATGAATTAGGAGCTCAATGATCATTTTTGTCAGAAAACTTTTTTTAATGACATTATTGAATTCTATTTTCTCCCTCATTAAAGTCCAGATAAAAGTTTTTCTGAAGTCAAAAAATTAGTTTCTTACCTAACTGTAATTCATCACTGAGTGATGATATTCTTTAAAGAAATGCCATACCTAGGAGTTAGACTGAATCTTTGAGCTCACTGAATTTAAAAACCTGTTTTTTTTTTCTGTAAAATAAGTATATGATGATGTAGAGACCACAAGAACAGATTATTAGGAATATACTGATTTTTATACACTCACTTTTTAAACTTATAATTTCTTTTTAAGCAAAACAAAAGACCTAAATTATTAGCTGTATATATAAATATATACAACCTTCTTTAAGGTCTATTCAAAGCTAAGTTCAAACAGCACAACTTTGTGAATTTAAGTAGATTTTGATTCATTTTTGTATCCCACCCACGCATGTAGCATCTCTTTATTTTTGTTCCCCAGGTTTAGTGAACAAAGGAAAAGGCTACAATAGGGCAGTAGCTAAATTTGTAAGGAAAGCACTTTAGAGAGAGAAAAAATGAAACTCCTAAAAGGTGTTTCAAAAGGTTTACAATATAAGAGGATTTAAAGGCATAAACCTCAGATTTCATTGACTTTTCTCCTTAGTCCCAGCAGGACTTCTCCCCTTCATTTTAACTTTGGAATGAGAGCATAAGTGTCTTTCAGAATATTGTCTGGAATTATCTATCCAATGCCTTTATTCACAGAGTAAAACTTAATTTTCACAAACTATACTGTAAAGTAAATTTCAACAGTTTACCTCACTGGAATCAGATGTTCAAAGTATGAAAAATTCATAATGCATATAGCATGATAATACTCAAGACTGAAGTTTTAAATTATGGTTGGAATTGGTTTCATAAAGTGGATGCTCAATCACTTGTTGATTGATAGATTATGCCCTCACTTCATAACTAAGGGATTTAAGGTGGCTTAAAAGAATATTCAATTATTGATAAATATGTAGGAAATATATTTCTATATAATACAAAAAAAGAAATCAGAGGTAAAATAAATAATTGATAATATAATGAAGCTGGTGAAAATTTTACATAGAATAGCATACCGTGAGGTCCTACATAGTTGCTAAAAGGGAGCCTAAATTTTTATTGTGAGCTCCCTAGTGAGCAGAGCCAAGAGGGAAACATGATCAGTTATGATATTCACAGGCTCCATAAAGAAAAGCAAAATGCAGCTTTTACTTTTAATACTTTTAAGTATTCTCTAGAAATGTTCCTGAGCACTGAGGTCTGGGAGAAGTTGATTAATATATATTTCAAATATCAAAGATCCTTATGGATGGATTTCTTCCATTGTATTTGATTTCAGATCATTTTGTGTCCTTATGGTTCCATTTATACTGGGGTATTCTCAGTAAATGTTTTACTAGTGAATTGGTGAAAATTCATGTGGCCCCAAAACCAACTTCATAAGTCAGCTGTATTTACAATTTTACAATATGGGCAGGCATGTCCTCATCCTTTCTTAGAGATAACAGCAGACTTAACATAAAATCAGGCAAGCCAAACACCTGGGCTAACCGAGGGAAACTGTGAGACCTCTAAAGCCAAGTAAAAAGACTTTTCTGAATTACTTTCTCCTTTAAACATGAAAATCCCGCTAGTAATATACATCTATTCTCCTTAGGTAAAGTACAAAGCTCTTATTTTTTTGGTGGAGTGAAGAGAGGAAAAAGAACTCAGGTATGGAAGATAAGTCAAGATTTGGAGATGGGCCTGAGACTCACAGGGCAAATGTTTTTCTAGTTCACAATTTTGCCTCCTTGTTCCCCATACTTGAGCTTAGTAAAACTTAGCGGCATAACAGCAAAAAGGAAGAAAGGGAGGGAGGAAAAAACAAAGGCAGGCTCCCCATTAGAAGTACTATAGATCTTGCAAGTAAACTCTATTTTGTTGGTTGATTAGATGTATATATTTAATGTTTATTTCTTATTCAAATTATACCACTATATCTAATTTATAACAGTCAAAAAATGTTAAAGGTTGTTTTCTAATTCTTCTATGGATTTGTCTTAACTGTCAAAAGGAATCTACTTGAGAAAAACAAGTTTTGCTGAACAATAGTTAGCCTCAACAATTATAAACCATACGCCGTCATAATCCAGATTTCTGCTAGTATTAGTAGCTATCTGTCTTCCCTTTCAATCCTTTTGAAAAACTCTCTTCTGAAAAGTAACTTTTCTCATTTTGGCTAACATTATTTGCTTTATCATACAAAATAGTATCAGTTCAACTTAAGTAAATGGAAAATATCAATTCAACAGACCTAATGCATCAGAGTAATGCAATCACAAACTATGCATTTAGAAGCTTTGATTATTGAAAGTAGTTACAAGTATTTTAAAGAGGGAGGCCTGAATCTCAATCCACAGCTCTTAATTTGGGTAAAACACAGACCTCTTTGAGATTTTAATGAAAGCCGCTGACCTTATTCCTATAAAAGTATAAACATGTCCATTTATTAAAACTATACGTACCCCCTAAAACCCACACATAAAACTAAGGCCCTTTAAATACTTTTAAGTATTCTCTAAAAATGTTCTATGAATGAATAAAAATTCAAGTAATATTAAAGACATGCCCAATTACAGTATTGGGATCATAAATAGAATGGTGTTGTAAATACTGTAAATAAGTTGGTAATGTTTAATATCTTTGTCTAGCTAAAATAATAAATAGTGACTAAAAAAGCACATCCAGGTAGTCCCCAACTTTCATAGCTAGGCATTCCTGCAAATATGTTTGAAAGTCAAATTTCTACAAGTTTAAAGTCAAATTTCTGCAAAATTTCAACAATTGATTTATGTTTTATGCAAAGAATTCTGTTACTGATGGCTAAAAAACGTGATGAAATCCCTGATGGTTCCTCCACACTGGGCTTAGACAATCTGGAAGATAGAGGAGAACCCTCACTGGGAGATGGCCCAAAACATCCCCCTTTTCACCCAAGAATGGGTAAGTAAAACTGTACAGCTCTCCCTTCCATAGGCTGATGACCTTCCCTAGTCTCACTACCAAGGTAGTATACAGCTGGGATATGCTAGGTATATGGAGCCGGGGTAGGAGAAAGAGATCTTGTCTGCTTGCTGCCTTCCACTTGCATGTGTGGTTTCTCCAGTGCTCCCAGCCACCCTTCCAAGACTGTGATGATACCAGTGAGATAGAAAGAGAGAGAAGGGTGGTGCACAGTCATTTGCTCTGGGTGGAACCTCTGAGCAAGAAACTAGTATACCTCCTCTAGTACAGGGATTCAGCAGGACGCCCTTGGCATATATGAATAGGTAAAGTAGATGTAACCGAGTTCTTACCCCAGGCAGGGGGTTTGGAGAATAAGGGGGCTCAGTCACCAAAATACGTCCCCCCTTTCTCCAGAGATGACTGGCTCTTCCCCAGTGTGACTTAACAAGCTGCACCTGTTTCATGTGCAGACCCACTCACCTCATCTGGTGGCCCAGATTAAAAGCTCAAAGGCTTTCTGGCCCTGCCACTTGACTTAGACTTATGGACTTGACCGAAATTTATATTGGTTTTCATTTGAGAGCTGGTGTTTCCTTCCAAGTCCAGAGACTTTAAATCCCCATCCCCCTCTATAGCATCTTACCCTTGCACTAGACTCATTTTATATATCCTTTTGCTCTCCTGATTGAGAAAGGACTGGATTTCACACCTAATTAAAAGAGATTGTATTGCCTGCTGTTTCCTTTCTTGCTCATTTTCTCTTGTGAGCAGGCAGCTTTTTATTCTCATGCTAAGTCCTATCCCTGGACCCCTGCAGCTTAAGGGACAGGCAGGAGCAAGGTTCCTGCAAAACAGAGAGTCAGGCCCTCTATCCCCAATTCCCCACAGGCAGATTTTCCCTTCAGTACTCACCCCTGCTGGAGCCCTGTCTGCGTTGTGCTCTCACAGAACAGTCACTTAGAATACATGATGACTTTCATTACTGCAGTTCCTTCCATGTTTCCAGTAAATGCCATCACAGGCTGACTCTATATTTTTACTCTAGTGAAAAGGAGGTAGGTTATTATTTTAAAACAGAGAACTATTTTTATCACTTTTTCATTTTGCCGTTAGTTCTGTGTTCATAACACTGTGCATTTTTTATTTCGGGTGGGGAGGATCCCCAAATACACATAATCACATAATCTATGTAAAGTTTTTCGGTTTTGTACAGTTGATAGGGTTGGGGTTTGGGTTTTTTTTTTTTTTTTTGAATAGCCCAAATGCCTATTCAGTGCCAATCTAAGAAAGAATAGAGTTAGCATTTTCACACCATTCCTTCCTATACACTCCGTGAATAACCATCTAATCAAGATTTGTTTTCAATGGGGGACAAATCTTCTACAGTAGAGTATTTCAGATTTATTCCATTGGAATCTATACATTAATGCCCATTGGATGAAAAGGACATGCTCACAAAAGCCTGGACTTTGCCTTACTGTGGCAGAAACTTTTTCCCACTGTATTAGTGTTAAAAATAAAAGAAAGCCTGGGAAAGGAATTGCCTCAGCATTGTGTGCTGGAGGAATGAGGTGTGCTTGAATGGGGAGGCAGGGTCCCCCTTTGCATCTGTACTCATATCAGCAAAAACGATTCAGCTTTTCATGGCTGTTCACTGCAGTGTGGGGCCAGTGTACTCAGGGAGATATTTAAGAATTGTGTCTACAAAATTCGACCAGGCATTTCAGGCCAGGTTGTGTACGTGTGCAGGTTTAAGTTTGTCTCTGTGGTTTTTAATGAAGTTGGTGGCAATATTATCGCAATAGTCTAACTCAGACTATTTAGTAGATAACTTGATTGTTTAGATGAACTAAATTTGCAATCCAGTCTGGTCAAACAGTTTGTGTTTTTCTCATGAACTTGTGTGTTTGTGTGATTATGTATGTTCACTTCTCATCTCTAAAGCAACCTTCGTCATTACTTTCAGCATCTTTCTTTTTTTCTACTGAGAATTAAGATAACTCTTGATCTTTGAGCACTTCAAGTTTCATTCCTCAGTGATCCACTGTTACGCAGTGGAAAAAGCATTAAGAGGCATAGGTTCTAATCCCAATCCTGCCACTTGCTACTGTGTAAAACTTTGGGCAAGTCATTTAAACATTTTGAGAGCCTCAACTTTCTCTTATATGAAATAGTAATAATAAGACCTATCCTGAAGGGCTAGGCATGGTAGCTCATGCCTGTAATCCCAGCACTTTGGGAGGCTGAGGCGAGCAGATCACTTGAGGTCAGGAGTTCAAGACCAACCTGGCCAACATGGTGCAACACCGTCTACTAAAAATACAAAAATGATCCAGGTGTGGTGGCACACGCCTGTAATCCCAGCTACTCGAGAGGCTGAGGCATAAGAATAGCTTAAACTCAGGAGGTGGAAGTTGCAGTGAGCTGAGATTGTGCCACTGCACTCCAACCTGGGCAACAGAGCAAGACTCTGTAAAAGAAAAAAAAAAAAACCTGTCCGGAACACATATAGGATTGTTGTAAGGAATAAATGAGATGTTACATGTAAAAGAGTTGTATACACTGTCAAACACTACATGGATACTAATTATTATGATAATTGTGATAGGGCTAGAATTTCCCAGAATTATCTGAAAGAAAACTCTATCATATATGACATCTCTAGTGTTATTGCTGTAACTAGTGCGATGAGCAAATGTGTGTTAAAAGAGTGTTTTCAGTTGTGTAGAAAAAAATGTAATAAATCCATCCTACAAAGAGGTGATCACAGACACAACCAGTTTTACCACTTACTGTTTTACTTATATGAAAGAGACCTTGGTGATAGTAAAATTGTATATAGAAAATTACACATCATAGTGCCAAAATAGTTGTTTTACTTCTTGCATCGTGACGTATAAAAATATAAGTTCTTGGCCAGGGGTGGTGGCACTTTGGGAGGCTGAGGCAGGCGGATCATGAGGTCAAGAGATTGAGAACATCCTGGCCAACATGGTGAAACCCCATCTCTACTAAAAAATACAAAAATTAGCTGGGAGTGGTGGCATGTGCCTGTAGTCCCAGCTATTCAGGAGGCTGAGGCAAGAGAATTGCTTGAACCTGGGAGGCAGAGGTTGCAGTGAGCCAAGATCATGCCAGTGCACTCCAGCCTGGTTCCTGGCAACAGAGAGAGACCCTGTCTCAATAATAATAATAATAATAATAATGAATTATTTAGGTTGGCTGACTGAGGCTATGTCAAAGCATCACAGCCTAGAAACATGAAAACCATGCTAAGTCATGGATAGGTGTAAAAGTAGCTGGAGGTAGTACTGGGCAAAGCCTTTCACACAGCTTTACAACAGAGCCGTGGATCCTTAAGGGCCAGACCTCATTCAGGGGCAAACTATGCAATACAGTGAAGCAGTTAAGAGGGTGAACTCTAGAGCCAGACTGCCTGAGTTTAAATGCCAGTCTACCAGCAATTGCCTGTGTGTACTTGAGCAAGTTGCTTAATTTCTCTGGCCTCAGTTTCCTCACCTATAAAATGAGAATAACATCATCTACTCCCCATGGTTGCTGTGAAAATTAAATGAAATCATACACATAAAGCAGTTAGAACAGTAACCCCTAAAAAAAGTTATCTTGTGATTACTATTGTGGTATGTCTGTATGGTGAACTCAGCAAGAACTTGAAATTTGGTCTGCTGCTGATTGAGTTCCTGAACAGCCCTTCCTGGGTTATGTGTGCCTTCCTTTAGGGCCATACTTTGTATTAACACAGTTACAGGAGATTCACCTTAACTTTTTAATCTGCTAAAGAGAACTTATCTTACATCAGTTAAAATGATGGAATCTGTACCCTAATACAATATTTTAGGCATATAACAGACATGATAAGAGTCAGAAGAAGAAAGAATGTTCTTACACAAATTAGCGCAAATTGTATTATTGAACATTTATTAAGTTAAGCTCATACCATGTGAGGGTGATTGAGTGAAGCAAGGTAGAAAAGTTCACTGAATTCAGTTTCCTGAACAAGTCTTCTATCCCCATGTAGAGCAGAAAGATTGTGAGGAGGCAGGCCTTCTTCCCATCTGAAGGCTGTTACCTCTCAGGTGGCTTCTCACAAGACAGAGAGATTTGGGCCACAGGCCAACAATCAGTGCTTGGGCCATTTGGTTTTGAAAGCTCACTTGTTTCATTTTCCCTAGCTGATTGTTTAGTTGTAAAGGCAAGAAGGAGGAATCTGATTGAAGCATTATTTGGAGGGCAATTCTCTAGAGTCATCCTAGAGGTGAGCTAGAAAACTAATAAAGCCCTAAGACCTACTGCTATAGCCACCTGTTTTGTTTCTCATTCTGAATCCAAATCTTATCAACATTATCCCTTGTCATACAGCCTACAGTATAGGAGTGGTGCTGGGTCAGGCTATCTGCAGCCTCCACGTAGCTGCTGCCTTCCCCCTGGGAGCTGTTTAATACTTCCCTGAGGCAAGTACATGAAGCACCCTATTACCCAAGGAGATCGTATATCCCACTCCTGGTTTACTCCTGCTATCCTGGCCTAATTATTAACAATGTTCCCTTTCACTCTTGAAAGTGCCACATTTGAATAATAGATATGATCACCAAGGTACTCTAGTCTCCTGGGTAAGAACTGCCATCTCTGACCTTTTTAACATTCCTTCTTCATTAAGCCTCAGAAAATTCAGAAAACCATCTATATCACATGCAGCCACCCTAGAAAGTGCTCAAACAGGTTGTCAGAGACGACCAAGAAGAATGAGTAGATAGAGAAAGCCGTGGAGTGCCCCTTTAACTAGCAGATTGCTTTCTGTAGCCTATCAATCATCTGGAAAACATGGTAGTGACTGTTTGGTAGACATCTTAGTCTGCGTTGAATTTTCCAAGAATTTTTGCATACGTGTTGTAGGTTTTGATAATATGCCATATAACTTAATAGGAAGGGGGGTTGTTTGTTAACTATGAATGTGGTCACTGTGTATAAATAAAATAAGGGACTTTGATAAGTTGGGTGAGATGTAAACTTTCCCAAGGGACCTCGGCTTGGGCCTGTCTAAAGTGGAGGCAAAGTAAATAAATACATAAATAAACATAAAGTGGAGGTAGAGTGTTCATAAGAACAAGTCTTCATTTACCTTTCAGTTCTTTGCTTTAGGAATAGCAGGCAAACCAACCATTTTGTTATTGGGCCTCTCTACCTCAGCTGCAGCTCTGGGGAATTAATATGGATGCCCAAAATGGCTGCACCACTAAGACCGGAATTGGAGCAAAATTCAAGGCCTTATTCCCTTAGGCCATCATACCTGCTGCTTGTATGCCACAGCCTGTCCATCTCCCTGCTTGCCTATGTAAGGGCGGTGCTTCTAGGAGCCATGACCTTTACTCACCTGAAACCTAGGTGTTAGGAATGCAGCCAACTAGATCTGACCCATGCCCTATTTTGTGTCTGCGTTGACATGCTGCAGGTGACATCAGTTGCAAGGGGATGACCGAGCGCATTCACAGCATCAACCTTCACAACTTCAGCAATTCCGTGCTCGAGACCCTCAACGAGCAGCGCAACCGTGGCCACTTCTGTGACGTAACGGTGCGCATCCACGGGAGCATGCTGCGCGCACACCGCTGCGTGCTGGCAGCCGGCAGCCCCTTCTTCCAGGACAAACTGCTGCTTGGCTACAGCGACATCGAGATCCCGTCGGTGGTGTCGGTGCAGTCAGTGCAAAAGCTCATTGACTTCATGTACAGCGGCGTGCTACGGGTCTCGCAGTCGGAAGCTCTGCAGATCCTCACCGCCGCCAGCATCCTGCAAATCAAAACAGTCATCGACGAGTGCACGCGCATCGTGTCACAGAACGTGGGCGATGTGTTCCCGGGGATCCAGGACTCGGGCCAGGACACGCCGCGGGGCACGCCCGAGTCAGGCACGTCAGGCCAGAGCAGCGACACGGAATCTGGCTACCTGCAGAGCCACCCACAGCACAGCGTGGACAGGATCTACTCGGCACTCTATGCGTGCTCCATGCAGAATGGCAGTGGCGAGCGCTCTTTTTACAGCGGCGCAGTGGTCAGCCACCACGAGACCGCGCTCGGCCTGCCCCGCGACCACCACATGGAAGACCCCAGCTGGATCACACGCATCCACGAGCGCTCGCAGCAGATGGAACGCTACCTGTCCACCACCCCCGAGACCACGCACTGCCGCAAGCAGCCCCGGCCTGTGCGCATCCAGACCCTAGTGGGCAACATCCACATCAAGCAGGAGATGGAGGACGATTATGACTACTACGGGCAGCAAAGGGTGCAGATCCTGGAGCGCAACGAATCCGAGGAGTGCACGGAAGACACTGACCAGGCCGAGGGTACCGAGAGTGAGCCCAAAGGTGAAAGCTTCGACTCGGGCGTCAGCTCCTCCATAGGCACTGAGCCTGACTCGGTGGAGCAGCAGTTTGGGCCTGGGGCGGCGCGGGACAGCCAAGCTGAACCCGCCCAACCCGAGCAGGCTGCAGAAGCCCCTGCCGAAGGTGGTCCGCAGCCAAACCAGCTAGAAACAGGCACTTCCTCTCCGGAGAGAGGCAATGAAGTGGAGATGGACAGCACAGTTATCACTGTCAGCAACAGCTCCGACAAGAGCGTCCTGCAACAGCCTTCGGTCAGCACGTCCATCGGGCAGCCATTGCCAAGTACCCAGCTCTACTTACGCCAGACAGAAACCCTCACCAGCAACCTGAGGATGCCTCTGACCTTGACCAGCAACACACAGGTCATTGGCACAGCTGGCAACACCTACCTGCCAGCCCTCTTCACTACCCAGCCTGCGGGCAGCGGCCCCAAGCCTTTCCTCTTCAGCCTGCCACAGCCCCTGGCAGGCCAGCAGACCCAGTTTGTGACAGTGTCCCAGCCCGGCCTGTCGACCTTTACTGCACAGCTGCCAGCGCCACAGCCCCTGGCCTCATCCGCAGGCCACAGCACAGCCAGTGGGCAAGGCGAAAAAAAGCCTTATGAGTGCACTCTCTGCAACAAGACTTTCACCGCCAAACAGAACTACGTCAAGCACATGTTCGTACACACAGGTGAGTGCCGCCCTCCCCGGAAGCCTGGCAGCAGGGGCTGAGGGGTCTATGGGAAGGCAAGGTAAGAGAGCAGGTTGAAGGGAAGGTTTGGGGTCATCATTTCAGATTCTAAAGAGACCCCACCAAAGCCTCTTCTAAAAGCCCCAACTATGTTCCTCCCATCATAAGAACAAAGCACCCTGCCACCAAGAGACACCATCACAGAAACCCTTTATGGAGAAGGGATGTCCTAGGGATGTCCAGACTGCCGAACAGAAGACTTGAGGCATCATATAAGCCATATTCAAGTATTTGTGTTTCGGAGGCAGCATATTGTAGTCAGGAAGAGCTCGAGCTCTAGAGCAAGATGGCTTGGCTTTGAATTCAGGTTTAGCCACTACTAAACCTTGTCACCTTCTACACTTCAGTTTCCTTGTCTATAAAATGAAAATAATATTGATACACCTTCCTTGTAGTGTTGTCTTGAGAATAATTATGTGAAGTCTTTAGAGTAGTTCTTCACACATAATAAGTGCTCTATAAGTGGTAGCTATTATTAAGATGGTTAAGAGGCGTAGACATTCAGTTGGTATAGTTTGGCTCCAAAAGGTAGAACTAGACCAATGATTGGATGCTATCAGGAGATGCTTTCCACTAAATAAAAGAAAAAGCTTGTTAACAATCAGAACCTGCCCTAGTATCAGAGAGACTGCTTTTAAATTGAGTGCATTTCTATAATTAGAGGCATTCAAGAAGAGAATGGATGAATATTTTTAGGAATTTTGTACACAGGATTCAGTTAACAAGATAAGTAAGATCGTGTTTCATCCCTGGATTCTGTGATTCCAGAGCTAAGATCTCCTGACCTCTCAGCCAGTCCTTTTTCCTAGCTCCATAATGGGACAGAGATATGGAATTCCCATAAAATTGGGCATTCCATCGATGTGCCTCCATATAAGTGACAACCTAAGCGATTGTGATTTCACATAGATTCTCTTGGACCTAAGTATACCTACAACAGTAATGATAATTATATTTGAAATTCTTTTTTTCTTTTCTTTTCTTTTTTTTTTTTTTTTTTTTTTTATGAGACGGGGTCTCACTTTGTTGCCCAGGCTGAAGTGCAGTGGCATGATCTTGGCTCACTGCAGCCTCAACCTCCCCGGCTCAAGCAATCCCCCGACTTCAGCCTCCCAAGTAGCTGGGACTACAGGCGCATGCCACCACACCCATTTAATTTTTTTTATTTTTTGTGGAGATATGGTTTCACCATGTTGACCATGCTGGTCTCAAACTCCTGAGCTCAAGCCATCGGCCTGCCTCAGCCTCCCAAAGTTCTGAGATTATAGGCTTGAGTCACTGTGCCTCAGAATACCCCTATTAAATGATGAATAATTTACCAGGGAAAAGTTATATGCTTGAATTCTGTTACATGAAAACAAATTAGTTTGTCAAAACAACCTTGTTTCCCAGATCAGCTAGTAGGAATCCAAGAGACAGGGCATAAAACAGCAAAGTTTAGATTGAGGACTGAAGGGAAAGAAAACAACAGAGACGGAGGCAAGGCATCAGACTTGGAATTGTACAACTGAAATGGAACATTGCTTAAGATAAACTTTGCCTTCTTTGCAGTGTTATTTAAGTCAGGACATTATGTACATTCATGTGCGTACTTTTATGAGAATCAGTTTTTCAAGATCACAGTATTCACATTTCCCAATAAATAAAGTGACTCACTACTAAATTTAGGAAGAAATTGGGTAGTGGTAAGTCACTATGTTTATTTGGGATAAATGTGAATGCACTAATAACCTGAGGTCAATCACCAGAAATTTTTCATGTGGTATGGGTATCACCATTATTAGGTGAATTAATCAAATAGTAATGTGTTTATTTTGAGCAACTTATGATTTGTAGAGTGCTATCACATAGTGTGTATCCTTTCCTCCGCCAGATAGCTGATTTATAAGGCATTAAAAAGGATCCTCAGAAGGGATATAGGAAGGACCATTTGTGAAAGTGTCTCCTTAGCCAAAGTTGACTTTGCTGTTCTTGGATCCATAAGCATACCTACTCTCCCCTCTGTACATCTCTTCAAGTAGACCTATCAGATATAAAATTCACACATTCTATTAGATCACATAGTGAAATAAGGCTTTAAATTTGTAATGTAAAATTTTCAGTGTACTACCAAAAAGTATCTTCTTGATGTATAAATACATTTCTCCAATGGATTCACCAAAGGATTCTCTGGTTAACCAAGATAACTAGATTTGGGCATGAGAAAACCAGCAAAGGATTTGTACACTCAGACATTATAGATGCAAAAGCTATAGGTAGAGTTATTTTATAAATCTGAGTTATGCTTAAAGTGTGGACTTCAGTTCTCTAGTAAATTCTGAGCATCTTCGGTAAGTTATGAATGTTGTTGTAATGGTGTGTATAATATAGCCCCATCTGAAAATCATCTATCAATCAGGCACCCAGTTTAAAAGAAGTAATGCTCTTCCCTTTTATTCCAGAATTATTTGGCAGTGGCAGTTTGGAAATCCTGTCTTTCCAGACTTTTATCTAACTGAAGGGGCCCCTAACCTAACAAATTTTTAGAACAATTGGTCTAGATTTTCAAAAGGCATGACAGCTGGAACATGTGGAAATAATTCAAGACCTGAATTCATTGTAGCTCACATTTCCAAACAAAGTTCTTTACAATGTCTGGGGAAAACATTTTAAAAAAAAGAGGAGCCTCACAACTTTCCAAGAGCCTAGTGGAAGTGATAAAAATTCAGAGCAAAATGTCCAAATGTTAGTATAGAAAGATTCTAGAGAGCACGGAGATATTTCCAAGAGTAGGTTTGGACTCAGTGTTCCCACCCATATTCTAACCAAAAGGATCCTAAAAAGAAATAAAGCTTGACAAAGTTAAAAATAAATAACAAATTTGGGTTTTCTCCATCACAGCTACTATGCAAACCAATAGATCTGCAGAGTGACTGGTTTAGCAATTCAGTATCTCCAAAGTTTAATATAGATGGTACTTGCTCTCAACAACTGCAGAGATAAGTTGTGTGTGATGATACACAACTATGGTCCCAGATACTCAGGAAACTGAGGCAGGAAGGTCTCGTGGGCCCAGGATTTTAGAGGCCAACCTGGGTACCCATCTCTTAAAAAAAGAAAAAACCTGAAGAGAATCAATTCTAAGATTCAGATTCTAATTACAATTTTGTAGTGCTCTATGTTAATATTCCACATTATTGAAAGAAAGTGTTTGAAGCCAGGCATGGTGGCTCATGCCTGTAATCCTAGCACTTTGGGAGGAAATGGTGGGAGGATCACTTGAGCCCAAGAGTTTGAGACCAGCCTGGACAACTTGGCAAGACCCCAGCTCTACAAAAACTATAAAAATTAGCCAGGCATGGTGCTGCATGCCTATAGTTCCAGCTACTTGGGAGGCTGAAGTGGGAAGATCACTTGAGCCCAGGAGGCAGAGGCTGCAGTGAGCGGAGATCACACCAATGCACTCCACCCCAGGCAACACAGCAGGACTCTGTCTCAAAAAAGAATAATAACAAATATTTGAGACAAAGATGTAGCATGTCATATTGATTTTGGAGCTAGGCTCTACCTTTAAGAATCAAGGAAGCTTTAATTATAAATCATATTTCATAGTGAATATAACACAGAAATTTTAAGTGGAGGCATAAATGAAAGATTATTGTATTGGGATTAGATGATTTGGATCCGGTTTTGTTTCTTCTAAAGGGCTATGTGTCCTTCAATGAGTCAGTTGATTTCATAACCCTCAGTTTCTTTGAGTTTAAAATAGAAATGATTTTTTTTCTGCCTTTTGAGGAGTTTTAAACGTATGATCCATGTGAGAGTTTTTCAGAAGAGGCAAAGTGTTACTTAATTAAAAAAAAAAAAATCCTCATCATTATTACTTTTTGCCCCTACCACCCAGGAGACACTGAGTTTCTTTGCTCTGTTTCTTGTCTTTGAATAATACACATTTGATATGTGCCCTTCCTCTTCGGAATTTAAATGCTGAAACTATGTTATACTCCTTGGCTTTCTCTTGAATATTCTTCATAACAAGGATATTTTTATTTCTTAACAATTTTTATAAGAGTAAAATAAAATTCCTCATCTAAATACTCTTTATCAACTGCTAAACAAACCACAGTAGGACTTCATTACCTCTAGAAATTTCTTTCATTCACTTAATGCAGCTTCATAAAAGTTGTGAGAAAGGAAACTAAGAATTAAGAGCATGTTTGGAAGCAACAGAATTCAAGAAAAAAACAAACCATCCTGTCAGGGAACAAAGCAGTCCTCCTGTCTGCCCCCTTCCATCAAGAGAAAAAACAGAAGTCAATAATGGAATGGAAATGAAAGGGAAAGATAGAGAATATAAGAAGAATAAGCCTTGGTGTCAACATGGATGTGAAAGGCAAGCAATAGGGAAAATTCAACGATAACCCTGGAACAGTGTGATCCCCGCACTAGCAGCATGCAAATTATGTTCCCCCTCTTTCACCCTCACCCTGGATGTCCTGAGTCAATCACTCAGGTGATGGATCCCAACAGTCTGTGTAACAAGTCCTGGTTCATGCTGAAGTTGAGAATCAATCCCTTAGAGGGCTGAGCCTAGGTAATTAGAAGAATGGCATCAGATTGCTTTTGTTACATAACATCATTCTTTAAAATTCCACAAATAAGAATCTGTTTAGAAAAAGTAAATCAGGCTGGGCGTGGTAGCTCACGCCTGTAATCCCATTGCTTTGGGAGGCCGAGGCGGGCGGATCACAAGATCAGGAGTTCAGGAATTCAAGACCAGCCTGGCCAACAAGGTGAAACCATGTCTCTACTAAAAATACAAAAAATTAGCCAGGCATGGTGGCAGGCACCTGTAATCCCAGCTACTCAGGAGGCTGAGGCAGGAGAATCACTTAAACCTGGGAGGCAGAGGTTACAATGAGCCGAGACCACGCCACTGCACTCCAGCCTGGGCAACAGAGTGAGACTTCATCTCAAAAAAATAAATAAATAAAATAGGAAAAGTAAATCAAAATTATAGATCACAGCTTGATTTTGTAGTGGAATTGTATCACAGAAACTAACCACTCACACATAAGAAGTAAGTTGAGTCTTCCAAATTACATGGCAAATGTATCCCTTCTGATACTTAGCAGTACTGACTTGTATTATTAATATTATCATGTGTTATCTTTACACCTTCACATTAGAATGTAAACCCTGTGAGAGCAGAAACACACACACACAGACATACCCTTCATACACATATATATACATGTATATTATACTTTTATATGCTCATTCATTTGGTGAATGTGCACATTCACCAAGAACCACCTGGTCTGTAAAACCTATCGAAATAAAATAAATAAAAGAAAATTTTAAATGTGAACATGCGTTCCAGGAGAATTTAATTCAAGGAACTTATACACAGATACATTCTTTTCACAGCAAGACTTTTAAATTTTTTTGTTTTGCTAGAGAATATATTGTACACATATCTGTGTTCACACTTTTTTTTTCACCCACAAAAGATAAAATGTTTTGGCCTTTTCTGAATCATATTATCAACAGCCCATTCATTGGTGACTGTTTTTAGCCCATTGGTATCCTCTGCACATATGATAATTTTGCGTATTACTTTGAGAAGGTCAGCTATTTCAGCCATGATTTCAATGTAAATAGACATAGTAACTATGGTAGCATAACAATGTTGGTGATTGGGCTATAACAGTCATATCAAGATAATGTGTTAATCCTCATATGGAGCTTGGACTACTAATTATATCAAGCCAGTGGGTGTAAAGGAACAAGTATAAGGCTTGGAGTGAGAAAGCCATGATATTACCACTTTCTGACTGAGTGACTTTGGGTAAGTTCTGTAGTCAACCTGAGCCTCAGTTTTTCAGATCTGTAGTATTTACTTTAAATGGTTGCTCTGTGAATTAAATAACATAATTTATATGAAAACACTTAATTATGAATCCTGTAAAATTATCACAGCCATTAATGTGTTATAGTAACATCACACATTTTGCAGCATAATCCAGAGAACAAGGAATTGTTAACGGGAGAGGAAGATAATCTGGTTGGACTGGTAGTATATTCTCAGGTGTGACTGACTTCTTAGGTGACCTTCAAGATGTTAGTACAACTCTCTAATTGGAGATACTATCTTCTGGGGATGTTAATATCCACTCTAGTCACAAAGTTGTAAGAAAAGTCAGGTTACATGGGTGGAACTCTCCAAAGCTCTGCTTAAAACTAAAATATCTTAGTTGTCACTGAAGCCACAGATATTTTGTGAATGCAGCATGCTCCCAATAGGGAGTCCCTCAGCCTCACAGTCCAAGCTGGCAACAGGATCACATCCCCAGGGAAAGACCAGAAAGGCTGGCAGGCGGTCACACCACTGATATCTCAGGCGTGTGAGCCCCCCTTTAACCAGACTTCTCTGGATGGACACTAGACTCTGCAGCCAGTAAAAGCGCCATCTGATTCCATCTGAGCGCACTTCCATTGTTAATACTGAACCTTTCCCATTTTCTGGTCCAGTCTGAATGCTCCCCATTCAGAGGACCTGCACTTTCAAGTATTCCTTCTGCTCTCCTCACCCATGGCCACCTTCCATTACCCACCTTCTCCTCTTTTTCCTGCTTCCTTGCTGCCTGCTGTCTCATCAAGCACCCTGCCTTGGTTTTTTGACCTGTCACTATACTCACGAAAGAGGAGGGCATTGTGCTCGGGCAGATGATGGGAAGGCAGAGAGAACAGGAGAGTCAGGTAGCAATAGTGCTTCTGAAAAATCTCCTGATAACAGCATTCATTGTCCTTTTCACAGCTCAGGAGAAGCCCTGGTTAAAATGAGGGGGAAAAATCAGTAGAATAAGTGGGTTCTGAGCTCCCAGAGCAAGAGGTTGGTATTCAAAATTGGGGGTCTGTACCCATTAGGATGGCTTTTACTTGAACTTTGTGAGCTACAGGCAGAACCCTTTGCATCTTCTAACCTAAGCAGTATCTTTCTTACTCTTTTTTTTTCACTTGTCAGTCATGGCAGAGTAAGTGTCAGAGCTGGTCCATGAGAAGAAGGTGATGAGGAGGCATTGAAAAATTGAGAAAAATGTATACTTTTACCATGCCCAACACCCTTGGCAAGCAGTAAAGGACACCACCTCCCCCTCAATTTCTTCCCTTGCTGTTTGGTTTCTGTGCCTCTAGTGCTCAGTGCCTGCTTTCCTAGGAAATTCTCTGTGCTCTGTGCTGACATTTTATCCATATACCACTTCTTGCCTTTTGCATATATATTTGAGAGAGTAGGCTATACCCTAAACTCTGAATTACATAGCTGCAATATAATCACTGGTTTTATTGATTATCTGAAATTTTTTTTAAAATTCAGGATTGGCTTCTGTATGCCATCCACATCCTTTTGCAGTTGGTTTCATTTATCCTTGGTTCCTTCGTGATGAATGGAACAGTTTAATTTTTCTTAAAATGACCACATACTCTGTACTAAATGCTTTATCTCTTCAATTTTGAAAACACCTTCATGAGACAGGTACTTACTATATTATACTCAAGTTATAGATAAGGAAACTGAGGCTTATAGAGGTTACATTACATGCCCAAGCCACTCAGCCAAGGAAATAGAATTCATATCTGACTCCTACATCTATATAGCCCCAAAATGGATCATTTTAAAGTGAAGGAACTTATATGACCTTCCCCTTGATGTTATAATTCAAGTATCCACTTTTTACTTTGTGTCCCCTTCTGACAAATCAGGCTTGCCATTCCTGACCATAGGCTTAAACCTGAAAAGCCATCTCTTACCATTTATCTTCACTTTTCCCTTCTTTACTTGGAGAGCAACAATCAACAGATCTCATCCGTTTTATGTGTATAATGTCTAAAACCATTTTGGGATTGCTGTAAGTAATATGCAAGAAAATAGTGGGAAAAAAATGTTTATTGAAACACAATAATTCATCACTGCTGGGTAGTCACCCATTTCACATTTATACATACACAATGAAAGTTGTGAGCACCTCACTAATCTGAAAATATACCCCATTTAGTAAGACAGTTCCTGAAATACCTACACTCCACCATCACAGCACCTGAATAATTATAGAGAGTACCTTCCTTTAAGGAGCTCCCAAGTGCTTTGCAAACATTTCTCCTTATTAAGTAACATACCATTGTTCTGTGGCAGAGACGGAAACAGGATACTTTGTCTTATTTAAAATGTGGGATTGTGAATATGTTCAGTGACTAAGCAGGTTGCCTTCGCGTCATTCACTGACAAAGCCAGGATTAGAATCTTCAGGAGTTGTGGTCCACCATGGGCTGAGGACCACTAAATCCACAAAGGACCATGTAGCAAGCTCCTGGTTCAACTCTTCACATACGGAAGGTGAAACAAACCCAGAGAGATGAAAACACTTAAAAAGCCCAGGGTCACATGGGTAATTAATGGTAGAACCAATGCTACATGCATGCCTATATATGCTATGGAGAGAAACATGACAACCATGAAGAATCAATTTATAGACAAATTAGGAGAGTGTGAAAATAAAAAGGCTTCATCAGTGACCTTGCCTCAAGGAAGAACACGCAAACAGCAGAGCATTTTAACATAGGTGAAGTTTCAACTTCCTGGCAGCCAAAATACCATCTGGAAGGTACGCGTCCCATGAAAGGTGACAGGCGGACACGTTTTAAATGACAGTTGGCCAGCCTATCATAGCCTCTATAAATTTTCTGAAAGCATGAGGATACAAAGACCAGCGGAATTCCAGGCCTGTTTACAGCTGATAGAAATGTTTCAGCTAAAAACATGCATGACTGTCTCTCTTAGGGAATCTCTTACTTCAAAAAAAATGTACCAATATAAACACTATGCATAGACTGAGGTCTTCAGCAAATTGAGATTATTAGCAATGAGGCATCCCTAACTTTTCCTGTTTTAATCTGAAAGTAAAATTCTTCTCTTCTAATCCTGTGATCTTATGCATCATACTGTCTGGTCAGTATGCTTCAAAGCCTATCTGTTTATGTTTGAAAACACGACAAAAAAGAATCTTCCTGATGAGAGAAAGTTTCATAAAATGGATCATGAGCATGCAGCACTTAATACCAACCCTGCCACATAGTAAGCACTCAATGCATGGTGATTGTTTTTATTGCTGCTATTACCATAACACATCAGAGCTCTTCTATCTGATAATGGGAAAAATGGAAAAACAGTCAAGGCATATATTTTAAATGGCAGTTAGCTCAAATTTTAAAAGATTTCTTACCCTGATGCATAGTTCAGTTGTTGAAATATTACCCTAAGGAGTTTCAGAGGCTTTGGGTTTTAGTTTGGATCATGGAAGAATATGTGGAAGAAGGACTTTTTTCTCTGAGGTGAGTACCTACACTGGGCGGTCAGGAATGAGATGGTAGAGATGGACCAAACACTTTAATGCAGCTCATCTCACCTGCCAGAAGCAGAGCTGAGAACAAACAACACAAACAAAACAAGTCTTTAAGTAATTATCTAAAGAGATGTCACAGGCCCATGGACTTTAAGAATACCTCATGTGGTCATTCAGTGACTGGGTATTGTTACTTACCTCACTGTTTGTAACAAACTTGATCATTTGGTTTCTAAGCCAAGCCAAAGCACTAAACTGAGGAGAAAGAAGGGCTTCTGCCAACAGGCTGAGAACAAAGGAGGAGGCAGGAAAACTGTTTTAAAAACTGACACAAGAGTTCAAAAACCATATGGAAGCATTTAATGGGGGTGGGAGGTAGCCTTGTAATAAGAACACCATGCATGTATTCCCACACTGCTCTCGGTGGTCTGCAAAGTGATTTCATATGTATTTTATGTCAACACCAGCACAGTGAGGTAAGTAAGACTGTATACCTCAGAGGCATTTGGTGATTTGTCAGAATGGTGTGTAGTGTGTTGGTGCCCAGATTTGAACAGGACCATTTGAGTCTGATGTCATCATGTTGCCCACACTCTACTCAGCCTCCACACCTGCTGAAGCCACTCTCCAGCTCAGTACAGTCAATAGAGAACAGGCAATTAACCCTTAAGTTACCTGTCAGGAAGATTTATGTCCAAAGTAGACAAACTCGAAAGTATAGCTCTTCAGAATGACTTATTCCTATGTTGGCAAATATTTTCCAAACTCACCATCAGTACATAGGTGTATTTATTAGACAGACTACTAGAAGTGGGAACTTTCCCCAAGGAATCAAGCTATATGACCAATGTTCTTGGTTATCAAGAATTCTAGAGCGCCCCATGTCTCCAAAGATCTTTCTTCTCTCTTATTTCTTACATTGGTTTGATAATGTTAATGGGAAACACTAAATCCCCGAATCAGATCACCGAAAGTGGCCCCCTTTAAAAGTAGCCCTCCCTTTTCCACAGAATGACCTTTGAAGACTTTTAGTGGGGAATATCTGGTAGCTTTCCAAGAGATCCATTTCATGGCGTAGGGAAATGGAAAACAAAACTGTCTTGGCATCACCATAAAGCAAAATTTCCCTGCACACAAGAGGCTAGGAGGGCCTGGATTTTTCCAATCAAGGATGATCCATTAAGGGATCAGATTTTATTTGTTTAATTTTTTTGTTTTTCTTTTTTGTTGTCTTGTTTTTCTGTCCTTCATCCTCCGTCCCTTGCTATGTTTCGCTCTGTCCTGCTTGCTGTCTCTTCCTACGTCAACAGGTGAGAAGCCCCACCAATGCAGCATCTGTTGGCGCTCCTTCTCCTTAAAGGATTACCTTATCAAGCACATGGTGACACACACAGGAGTGCGGGCATACCAGTGTAGTATCTGCAACAAGCGCTTCACCCAGAAGAGCTCCCTCAACGTGCACATGCGACTCCACCGGGGAGAGAAGTCCTACGAGTGCTACATCTGCAAAAAGAAGTTCTCTCACAAGACCCTTCTGGAGCGACACGTGGCCCTGCACAGTGCCAGCAATGGGACCCCTCCTGCGGGCACACCCCCAGGTGCCCGCGCTGGCCCCCCAGGCGTGGTGGCCTGCACGGAGGGGACGACTTACGTCTGCTCCGTCTGTCCAGCAAAGTTTGACCAAATCGAGCAGTTCAACGACCACATGAGGATGCATGTGTCTGACGGATAAGTAGTATCTTTCTCTCTTTCTTATGAACAAAAGAAAACAACAACAAAAAACAAACAAAAAAGCTATGGCACTAGAATTTAAGAAATGTTTTGGTTTCATTTTTACTTTCTGTTTTTGTTTTTGTTTCGTTTCATTTTGTACTACATGAAGAACTGTTTTTTGCCTGCTGGTACATTACATTTCTGGAGGCTTGGGTGAATAATAGTTTTCCCAGTCTCCCTCGGATGGTGGCCTTAAGGCCTGGTAGTGCTTCAAGAGGTCCACTGGTTGGATCTCTAGCTACTGGCCTCTAAATACAACCCTTCTTTACAAAAAAAAATCTTTTAAAAAAAAGTAAAAAAAAAAAAAAAAATTCCACTTGTGAAGAGCACTACAAAAAATATATAACAAAATCTAAAAGGCCTACTGTCTTTAAGTACACCGCTTGCAGTGTTTCAGTGGACATTTTCACAATTCTGGCCGCTTGGACTTCACAGTAACCAGTTAAAACTGTGGAATATCACTTCTGGTTGAAAATCCAGAGGAAAGGCCCTGCTGTTTTCCGCCTACCACGTTGTCTGATTTCATAAAAGGGCTGTGGGGGTGGGAAGGGCAGTGGGTTCGGTGGTGTGGGAAAGAAAGACGAATGGCAGGCTTCTCCCCCAGATTCTGCCTGGGTCCACACACCCTGGCCCACCTTCTCCATATCCCCCCTTGCAGCAGAAGCCAGGAAGACTTGGACAAGCAACAAGCAACAGTGGCTATCGTATTTATTCAGTGTCTTCGCTGAGCCACAGCCTCAGCACAATCAAGAGGGACTTTCATGAAAGGCAGGAATGCAGATAAAACAAAGATATCAGAAATTTGCACCTATGTTTTTAGGTACAAGAGAAGGATTATTTCCAACAATCTTTGCAAAAAATAAGTGTCAAGATATATTCTTGTGGAAGAGAAAAAGAAAGAGAAATGGAGGGTGGGGGGAACAATAAAAAGTTCTTGAGGCTTTTTTAATTCAAAATTTTATAGAGGGGCAAAAGTGACGTTTACCAGATAGAATGCTGATTTTTTTAATATATTTACAACAGTATTTGTGTAAAAAAAAAAACAAAAAAAGTGAAATTGTTAAAGGTAATTTTTTTTCATTTTGGTTTTGCATACACTGCCACCAATTCCTTCTCTTTTATTTCACACACATATATATATTTTTTGGTAAGTCAAGACTGTTAAGGTTAGCGATACTGCTTCCAGATAGAAAGAATAAAAGGCAACTAAAGTTATATTTGAAAGAGAGGAAGGATATTTTCTTCATATTTTTTTTAATTTTTCTTAATTTTTATTATTTTAAGTATTGCCTGGGTTGATGAGGGCCTCTGTGGCCAGCCCATCCCTGCTGTAATTTGAATTGCTGCTTTGTATTTTGATATGTAGTTCTTTGACTTTAGCAAGCTTAAGTTGTCCCACCGAATAATTTTTTCAACTGATTCATCTAGAATTCTGTTCTTTTTCATGGAAGAGACTGTATCTTTCAGAAAGAGATTGCTTGCTTCTCCAAAATTTCATTGAGATCTTACAATTCTAGAATTTCTATTGACTTTACTTTTTTTCCTTGGTGAAACACTAGTAGTCTAGAAGTCTTGATAAATGGGGTCTTTTCTTTTGTGATCAGCCAGGAAGAGGAGTTCACAAAACTCTGCCATAGCTCCTCACCCTTCCCAACTACAAAGAGCGTCATTATGAGAAGCCTGTTACAGATCAAGATGCATTGATGCCAAAATCACTTTTTTTCTTTCAAATATCACCTTCTGACTGTTTCCACCATGGTTAAGAGGGCTAAATCAGATGATCATTCTTTAGATGACTAATTAACCCTTGCTTCTTGGAAAGGTTTTAGGGAAATTAACAAAAAGTTCCCAGATGCCAACATCCACCATTCAAAAGACCACCAATCTATTGCATCATACCAGATGCCACTCTCTCTCCCTAGTTGGGATTTCTCTCCTCGGTCCTGATGAAGGTGTTTAGAGATATTTTCTTTATAGACAGTGTCCTGAAGGCATTCCAGCTCAAATATAGGAATTCTTAAACCTAGCTAAAACTCCCAAAGTGATTTCATTTCTGGGCATATTTTAACACACTTAGGGGAAAGCAAATCTTTAAACAAAGCAAAACACCAAACAACTACAGTTTTAAAAAGAAGAAAGGAGAGAGTATTTTAGTTTCAAAATTACATTGCATTTTAATTTAATTTTCCTTCTAATTTTCCTGTCAGCATTTTATTTACAAAAACTGTGCAGCAAACGAGAGAAAATCTTCCAACACAAACAACTCTGTAATGACTAAATTGGTTTTATTCATATATTTTAGACATTTGGTTAACTTGGATCTTTTTCATAAGTTCGTTGTGACGCTTAGTAAGGTTAGTGTAACTGAAGTGTTTGTGAGTTTGATTTGGTCCCACAGTGCTGAATTAAGTGGGTATTTTGCTACAAGTTTTAATGTAAACTTGGGTAGTTAAATGACTATTGAGTATAACCTATCATGATTTCTAAGAGGAGTCCTACCAATAACTATGTGTCCAAAACGGACCTGTTTTAACAGTTAGTGAGGAACAGCTTCCAAAATAAAGTAAGTTCGTTTTTCTATTGCTAATTTTGCTTTTCAAAATAGCAGTGTTGTAAGACTAATATTTCCAATTACCACCAATAGAGGGAGCATTAGTTAATTAACTATGTCATGGAATTGTTTTGATATTTTGGAAAACAAGTGATTCCACCCATAAAATAAAAAGAGAAGATTGACCTTAAGAAAAAAAACTCTTAAAGCTAGAAGGCAATGACATGAAATCACTCAATACATGTTACAAATGAAAGAAGGCCAAAAGCCACTTTAAAATATTTTTAACTGTTTAACAATAGTGGATTTGAAAGTGTCTTTGTTCAAATTTAGCGAAGTAGGAAGAATTTTCATTAATACCTCCAGAAAAGTTGATCTTAGGTGCCATTATGGGCCACATGTAGCTATCTGTTTCTCAAATCTGAGGGAGAGACCCATTTGCCTTAATGCTGATTAGCCATGTAAAATGCTAAGCAATTGGGTTAGAATCCACCTTTTCTTTTGATAGAACAAAAGATAAAGAAAAAGCTGCAGGTGACTTGAAACCCTAAGGATTCTATCATCCTTTCCCTGTAAAGGAAGTGTCTCTTAAAAAAAAAAAAAAAAAAAAGAGTAGGAGGATCCCTAAAGAATTCTTAACAAGGTGATATAATCATTGTAGTCCATGACAAAATGGACCAGTCAGGTTTGCATAGCAGTGGACATATTCCTACTGCATATTTATCCTTCCCAAACATGTCACATTCTAAAATAGCTGACAGATTATTTTGTGGAGAGAGGAGGAAGTTGGATTGGAGTGGGAGATCTAATCTAGAGGAGCCAAAAGGTAGTTGTTTATTGCCATATTCCTGGCCTGTCAAATGGCCACTTTCTAAACTGACCCACATTTTAGGAAGTAAACCAGTCTGGACCGGTTTCAAAAGGATAGAGATGCTTTTAGATTGTCAATTCTCACTTTCAAATTAAACAATCACAAATATCTTTGGAAATAGGGAAAGATATTTTGCTTCAGAATCAGAGAATTAGTGTGGATCTTTTTAATGTTTTGGGGTTTTTTTGTTCATGTACTACAGTCATCTTACATTTAGACCTTCATGCTAGGATGATATCAGTGCTAAAAAAATTTCTTTTTAATAGCAAGAAAAAAGATAGATAAGATAAAAGCAGCTGTTACAGATTTAAGACTTCTTAGGATGAGTACGAGGAAGAACTAGTTAGAAAGGACATTTTTGAGCAATTTATAATTTTAAAATGGAATTTGCCAAACAAGGGAAAGGAGAAAAAGTCAAAGGAGAAATTTTTTTTCTCAAGATTTTTAGATACAATTTATTAAAAAATATTATTTTCTAGCATTAAAAACATTGGTATTATCTCAGCATCATGGGCAATTTTTTCTTATTAAATGCCAATATTTGTACAACAAAGGCCCCCAAATGTGTGAAATGTAATCTTAAAAAAAAGTAATAATTGGAACACATGGATCTGATACAACTCTACACATGGGGAAAATCTGAGAAATAAGCTAAGCAGAAAAAAAAAAAATCTGAAATGAAAATCTCTGTATCAAAATGGTTTCCTGTATATTTTAACTGAGCGGTAAACTTTAGCTCATAGTAACAGTTTTATAGCCTGTTCTCTTCCCAGATTCCTAATGCTTTGACTCTATTTGTACCATGATTAAGTGTGCTGGATAATTTCCTGCTCATATTCTAGCTCCTAGTCATCTTAGAAGTCATAGTAGCTCTTGGCCTTGAAAGACTTGGGTTTGCTTTGTTTAAAAGTCCTAGGAGTTTTATTTTGTATCACCAAAATATTCTATAAGGTCCCCAGATACTCTTTTTCAACCCATGAACAGTAAGAATTTGTGAATTCAGATAATGAAAAGAGAAAAGTTTTCCTCCAGGTATGTTTGTTTCACATTCAGTCCTAAAGCCTTGAGTTACGTGTACTTCCCTCACACAAGCACACCAGCAGTCTATGCTCTGCCCATGCCCAAAACTCAATGGTTTTTCTCAGCACAGAAGTCAAAACTGAGATATGCCCCTGATAAAACCCCTTCGATTCCTGAGAAAGCATAATAAAGGCTTATATCGCTTCCTTGTTGAAGCTCCTTCATAATACTCCCAACACCCGTGACCCCTGCGAAAACAGGGCACAAGGTAGATCTGCCCAGGAGTCACAGGATAAACACCCATTCTGGAGCCTTCCTCTGTTGTTCTAGAAGATGTTATTTGATTAGTTGGGGCTGAGAGCAGGGGATATATGATTCTGCGGAAAAGGTATCAGATCATCAGATCAGGCCTGCCTCAGCTATAGCCAGTGTGCTGCTGCATCCAAAGGTAACAAAGGGAAAGTGCAACGTAAGGGCAGACACAACCTGAGATGCCCCTGAGATTTAGGAGAACAGGATGGTGCCCTTTCTGTTGTGACCTGACTCTTAAAAGAAATCTTCTAAAGGAATTCTTTAATTTGGTAATGAGTTGAAGTCCAGGGTAATGGAAGCTCTAGGGCAGAGAACAAAAGAATTGCAAAAATGTATTCAGCACCAAACAATGCTAAACCAAGAAACATCCAATCACAAAACTAGGAAGTTTGGCAAGAAGTAGTTAGAGAAATCTCTGAGTTTTTCCATGGGTAGGGTCGACAGACTCTCTTTTGAGTGATTTCTGGCTCTGAGAAACCTCTTTACTCACTAGAAAAGAACTGTATTTAAATGGCCAATTTTTTTCCTCAGAAAAAGAAATTAAAAACAAAAAAAAAGAAAAATAGGACACTGAAGACAGAACCATGTGACTTGGTGACAAACAAAAGGAAGGGTGCACTAGAATTTCAATAGGCTCCCTAATTCCACAGAAAAAGCAAAGCAACCCAATGCCTCCTGAGCCTGCAGTGCATGAAGAGAGCACTTGAGCTGACCCAGCCACCAGGCTTTCTGGGGCTAGACATAACTTCCCACTGGAACAGCAGCAGCTCCTTTCCCCTCTTTGTGTTTTCATGAAGAAAACGGTTGTTCTCTTAGGTACCCAGGAAATAGATTACATAGGGCAAACTTTCCAAAGCTATCTCTACCCTGGTGCTCAGGCTGCACATAGAGGCAGAAAAGGGGCATAGAAGAGCTCTTGCTCTTGAGAGAGAATATTTTCATATTCCCAAGGGCTTTCTGTGGAGCGTTGCTATTTCTGATGCCACTTAAACCTTTACAAGAGAAAAGGCTGTGGTGACTCAGTGTTCCTGTAAACTCAGAATGTGAACATTACTAATCCAAAGCATCATTTCTAGCACTGAGTATCAAGATGATCAGCCTGACCAAAATACTTCAAAGACTCTTCTAAGTCTCTGAAGATTTTTTTTCTCCTTCAACACTGAGTATAGCAGTCAGCAGTGTACATTAGCAGATCCCTGAGAATGATTATGGAATAGTAGGGCTTGTTTCCATGCTTTTTAGAGTGAAGAGGTAGAAAATGAGGGCTGCATAGTGTGGGTTCTTTTTCAGAACTATGTATTTTCTCCTCACTGAATGAGGCGTAAAAATGGCCTGGGTTGAAACAAGAAACATTATCTTTCCACAGCACTGACTAAAACACCTGCCATTCCAGTGGTTTCCTAAGGCCCCACCTGTTGCTCCATAAACTGTAGACTTTCAGACTGAAATCTAATCTTAAGTGACCTCAATTTAGGTGTTTTCACAAGAGGCTACTTATTGTATAGCATTATTGCCTTAAATCAGAAAGCCTTGGGAAGAGGACAAATGATACAGAAATGAGAAGGCTCTGAAGATACAGGCATTTCTTGCTGTTTAATAGTTACATTATCACAAAAGTAAGCCCCATGTGTGATTGAGGACTATGGAAATAGTGACTTCTTGGGGAGGCACCAAACTTGTCTAGAACTGGTACTCTCAGATAGTGGCTGCTATTTCCTATTCTATTTCAGTGACGTAGGTTGGGGCTGAATGTAAAATAGACATCATATTACTAAATAGAATCCTATAAAATGTAATCACAGGTGCCTGGGAATACTAGTTTTAAACGTTTCCTTAACAAGGAGAACAATCCCAGCAAAAAGCTTTCTTTCCCCATACAGTGTATATCTGTAAATTTTTTTCCCTCAGTTTTAGAGAGCATCTCTTTTATCTGGTGGTTCTTTGTTTAAATGCAAACTCATAAGTTTCAAGTCTTCAGTGAAAGATCATAATCTACAGATGATACTCTACAGAGAAAAATCTAGCCACAGTCTTGAGAGTCCAGGCTTCTGGAATGCTTAATGAGGGTATAAAAGTCCCTACTAACCCTTTTTCAAATTCAGAGATTTCTTTGATTCAAAATGCCTCAATGAGATTTTGATACATCCAAGAGAGAGAAAGCGAAAACAAAAAACAACAACCACCTTGGGGGCATCTGTTTCTACTAGTGTTGCAACAGTTGTTATGACCCAGCAAAATCATTGCAATTTATATGTAGATTCTAGTAATGAAAGAGTCCTAACCAATCCAGCATGTCACCGCTGCTGTCCAAAATGTCTATGACTGAGTGTACGTTATTTATACGTGTGCACACACAGTATGAGCTGCTCTCAGCACAAAACTGTTCCACATTCATGTTGCCCAGTGACAACAAGATAGATTTTTGAATTTCTGGTTAGGAGTCAAAGGTCTGACATATCGCACATGTCTGCTCTGCTTTGTTGCCTTAGTTGGATGCATCACTATCTGTGATGAGAAATTTAGGGCAATCTGAAGGAGTCCAACCATCAGTAATTTCTGTGTATCCCTTTCATGAGAAACTTGAATATGCTCATGTGGAGTAGAGTGCATTTAACAAACTCTGCAGTTCTGTTGGATTTATTGACATGTACGTGCATGTGTGTGTTTGCGTGTATACTTATTGTCATCTGGGAGTGTGTGTGCCTCCCAAATGAAGCACACACAGGCAGAGGTCCTCGTGCATAGATACAGTTGCCTCTTTCCACCATTGTGCTAAAGACTCATGGCTGCCTTCCCAGGAAGCAGTCACCTGCCCACTCTGTTGCTTTTTGTAATATTTCAGAACTGGGAGAAACAAACGCAGCTTGTTGAATCCACAGCAAACCCACAGGGACAGGCTGTTTTCCTCCATAAGAAGGTAGAACAGAAGTCTTTGACTGGTGAGCAGACAAGAGGGAGCAGCAGTCCAGGGCACTTCCCCAGGTCTCCTGGAGGTGGGGGCACCAATGCCAGGCAGGCAAAGCCCACACAAACTTTGGCCTGAGCCATCCCATAGCTCTAAGGCCTTCATTCCTTTCCTCTATGCAACCCAGTGTGCACACACATGTGCACATACACACACACACACACACACACACACAAATTTTATTCCCAAACTAAAGCTTCCTAATTCTGCTTGTACGCAAAGGATATCATCATAATTCACAAACTGTGTCTCCTGAAACCAATGTGGCCTTTGCCAAAGTCTTTCCAGGAGTGAGTTGTTTACCATGTCTAGCAAACCAACAGAATATTGGGGGGCATATTTTTTGGTAATCTCTAAGAATTGATAGCTCTTGCCCATCTCAAACATTAAAGTAGAATGCCACTCTAGTATAATGTACTGAGTGAATGGACTCTGAAGGCTTGGTGACCTGGAATTCAGGATTCAGTTTTCTCACTCCCATGCCCTTCTTTTACTAGATGGTTTGTTATTTTTTAAGACATGTAGATTATTTCTGCTTTACAGAAGTCAGAGGACATTTTCCTTCCTCTTCTATTTTGGTGACTTTTCCCCTTCCCGTATTAAGTAAGGCTACTTACAGTTGCAACTTCTCTGTTGTTATTACTTTTTAAAATTGTATATTGTCTTTCTATATCCAAAAGAAGTCTGTGACTGTAACCATAGGTATTTCTTTTTACTGGAAAAAAAAATAGTCGTTTTGGTTTTTTTTTTTTTTTTCTTTTAATTAACAGTACTAGTGACTTTGTGAAAGAATATGAGTTACTATTTAGGTATGCTTACTTAAGTACAATACACTACATTGCAGTATTTCTGAAACCTAGGACATACACATTATATATAACAATTTTATATTGAAATATATATCACATTATATTCATTTTAACTTTTGAATCTGCCTATGATCATGAGTTGATTGAAATATTATGTCTTTGCATATATCACCCATCACCAACCTGCTGCAGTTAATCTGGTGCATTTAGTAATAATCATTACTGCTCTAATTTGCTTTTTATATTATCAGCTTCAATTTTGTCTTTAGAGGATTTTAGAATTTTTTAAAGCTCAGACTTAGCAAATGTAGGAAAGTGAAATCTTTTTTTGAAACTTTGTTGGTGTGACTAATACAAAGAGGTTCATATTCAAAATGATCTTGTTTAGCTGACCCACTCAATATCTGAAGAACAAAAGAAGTGCATATGAATGTATCTGTGATTTTCCCCTGTAGGACTGTCACTGTCTATACTTGCTTTTAAAAATATGACCAAGGGGCTGCTTAAGTGCTATATGATCTGACCAACAATAACAGGCTGCATTCAAAAGGGCCAGTCTTCTGAAAAGCATAAGACAGTGAACTGCCTACTTTTCCCCTTAATACTGGTTCTTTACTACTTCTTTTTCCAATATGCTTATAATTATTTTAACTAGTCTTCGATCTTTCCCTGGAGGCAGTGTGGCAATACAGTGTTCATTTTCCTGGGAGCTTTTTTCCTTTTTTTTTTTTAAACTAAAACCAGAGTTTGAAGAACTCTTTATCCACAGAGGCTAATAGAAGTATAACTCAGAAATATCTATCTGAGACATTTTTTAGTCTGAAGAATCCATAAAATGGTGGCTCTTGGGTATCCAGCCCTCAGGATCTCCATTCACCTATTAAAGTGAGGATTTGGTGCCTTTCTTCTTCAGTTAGGCCATCAAGGAACCTTCAGAAATCAGGCATCCTGTCTTCCTATACAGTAAATACTTTCAGATAGTGTCTTCGGCTTCCCTCGGCTCTTCAACCCAATGCATGGAAAGCCTCAGTTGAATAAACTTTTCCACCACCCTGGGTGCCTGAAACTAGTGTCCTTCTTCACTTCTACCTTCAGGACAAAATGAAGAGAGTTTTTTAAAACCTCAGTATAAAAGACCTTCTCACACTGGACCAATATGAAGGCCTGTCAGTGTGAATACTGAGGAATTCCTTCCTTTCATCTTTCCTAATAGATTTTCATTCTCTAATCCCATCCCATTCTGCTGTGCCTCTTCAGCAAAAAAGTCCCTTTTCACCTTAGCCAAGCTCCCTGCAGTGCTCTCCAGCCTGGTATTCACTAAGGAATGACCTACTCTTAGTCTACTTTGAAAGGGTGAATGTCTAGTGTAATGGCAAAATTACCAATCTGTTCTCCAAAGTGTTCAACCAGATATATTTCTACTAGACAAACATAATTGTGAATTGACTGTTAAGTGAGGCTGTTTCTTCTCTAAGGATCAAACGATATCCAAATTATATCAACTTCATTCTTTCCCTCTTCCCTTTTCCTAACCCCTTCCCTTTATTTCTTGTTTCTCTTGAAGACTACTTCAAAATACGTAGTCATCACTGCCCCCTAACCTCTAATAATTATGACCCCTAACTGTTCATTTCTCTTCCTTTCTCAACCCCTTTCTGAACGTCTTTCTTTAAGCTTGATTTAATGAAAGAACACTAAAGTGAATGAGTTCATAAACTTGAGACTCGTAGGCAGAGTGAAGCATGTCTTCATTTTAGCTTCAGAGTTCAAAAGTTATCAATATTCTTTTGAGAGTGGGAGAACCTGAGTCACAGTTTTAAATGTCAACTGTACTAGCTGAGGTCATTAATTCCTCTTACCTTCACATTTGGCCAAAGATGAGAGAAAACGTATTTTCTGGTTTTAAAAAATACCCCAGTGTTCAAAATCTTGATATGAGTAAACCACTTCTTCTGGAGAAAAAAAAAAAATCATTCATGTTGACTGTTTCCACTAGTCAAATTACTTGTTTATCAGACTTTAGATTATAGAAATCTACAGAAAAGACTAACATTTCATTTCAAAATAATTTTGATAACTGTTCGAGCCTTATGAGCTCTTCTCAAACAAGAAAAGCCACTTCCACTTGAACACATTGTAGGAAAAATTATGAAGAATTTTTTTTATTTATTACCCTTTGGAAAAAATAAGTAATCATTGATTGGCTTAGAACTTTGAGCAGTAATTTACTAACGTATGAGAAGATCCATAAAGTTTCTAAAGCGTCTGTTTTTGCAACCAGAGGTTGCTTAAACATAAACTTAATATGTGCTTAAATAAAATAATGACAGGGTTAAATGGATACTTAAAGAGCCATGCAGTACACTCCCCAGTACCTAAATACACACCATGTAATTTGGTTTTCAAGCTAGATCTCACTGCAGTGGATTACAACTGTCTGGTCACCAGAGCATTGCCCAAAAGACTGACTGATGCCATTCTGGTTATATTTCTTTCAGGATGCTTATAATGTCACCTTCATAACAACTTTGTAACTCAGTCTTTCCTGATTTCTGGTCCAGTGTTCTTGCCATGATACCACATTGTCTCTCAGCTTTAATGAAGACAAGTCCTGTGACATTTAGAGTACTATGTGGTTTTGAGGGCATAGGCGGTACACTTTCAGTTCTTGCTTTACCCTTTGACAGAATCGACGTTTTAATATCAGAAATGTATTTTTATTTTACTTGACCCAGCTTTTATCTTAATCAAACCACTTTATAACATCAATTCACACCATAGAGAACAATGAAATAAATAGCAGTTTTGAAGGCCTTTATGAGGCATACATTTAGTAGGAAAACAACGTCTCTTAAAAGCAGGATTAACATTGTGTAGAACTGTGATCTTCACTTGGAATGTTCTCTCAATCAATCCTATCTTCTTCTTTTTCTTTGTCTATTTTAACTCCCGGTACTTTTTTTCTAAAAGTTCTCTTTATCTAAAGTATTCCTCTCTTTAGGCACTGGCTTCCAAATGAAGAAAGGCTCTTTTAAACCCTGAAATGCTATCATTTAAAGTATAATATGGAGGAGGAGAGGCTCTAGTTCTGACAGATCTTATTTGGTCCTCTTAATCTGAGATGCCTTCTTGATGCTGTTCTTTCTAGTTCCCCAAGAAGCATTCCAACTCCAAGACCCAGGATTTCTCACCACAACCTCTGTGTTAGTCTCAGATAAATCTTGTTTGATATTCTAGAGATTCCAGGATATGAATTTATTAATGCTTATGAGCCTCCTATCTTTCCAAGCTGACACCTGTCAGGAGCACCAATAGCCCTAACAGTAATTAATGCATCAAAATAATAGAAACACTATAGTATATTTGTGAGGATAGGAAGAGATTTTTTTTTCTTCTTTTCTCCATGAAAAGCTTGCTTTACTCCCCTCATCCCCAAAAACACACACACAATGCATTTCAGAAAGTCTGCATCACATTTTACAGATATGTAGCTCTAGAATATACAAATATAGCATAGGAAATGTTCCGAGATTGAGGCTGGTAGCAAACAAGCTTATTTTCTGCACTGGACTTCAGGACAAGTGTGCATAGATACAATTCCTTCAAAGAAAGTGAAACATGGTAAAGCAAAGGGATAATACTTTCACACATTCAAACAGTTGTTTGCTATCTGTAAACCTTGATTTAAGCATAATTATTAATTTTTAGAAATCTGAAACTGGAGGAATGTGTATTTTAGTAAAGTTTGTTTGTTGATTTATTTGTTTCCCTTTATCTCTTCTCAAGATAGTAAAGGATATTTATTTCTTAATTTGATACTGTCTATGGACAGTCAAATAACTGCTCACCCTTACTGTATTATTTTCCCTCTTAGAAAGAAAAGCCTTCCATCCTGCTATGAAGGAATTTTTCCTCCACAAAAATCTTATCTTCCTTTGCATATAGCACTCGTGAGCTTTTAACAGAGAAATTCTCTCTTTGCTTTGAGGATAGAATAGTTAAAACAAAAACCTATTCCTTGAGAAAGAAACCCTGTTTACCTAAACTAATAGGCCTGGGGCCAAAGAATGGAAATTGATTACAGATGAAGATCATGCATTTTGTACTACAAATCCTTATTGCCTCCTCAAATCCTTTTTGGAATAAGGCTGGAAATAAATTAATTTAATTAAATTCCTCTTTGGGTATTTCTAACTAATATCTACTGTAAGATAGCCAGGAAAGAAAAGGAAGGGTGCTGCTAAAATGTCAAAATCAATCGATCTGTTGATTTTTATCCTTGTAGTTGTTTCTTTTCTAGCCATTTCAAGACTATATGTGTCCATGAAGTCTTAAATCAAGAAACATCTGTCTCCCCATTGCTTCTCCCACCTTCCCCATACCCCTGCACCTGCCCCAACCCCAGGCACTGGAGGCAACAGTAACAGAGGGAGATGGGCACTGCATTGCCAATACTTCACCCATCTATACCCCTCCACCACAAAGGAGGGAAAAACCAAATTAAAAACTTTAAAAAAAAAAAAGAAAGAAAATTGTAGTACTTCATTTGAAAGCATACTGTTTTCACTTCAATTCAATTAACAGCCTGACAACGTTTTTGTAACCCGTCTTTTGTGTTTAATTGACATTCTTGGCTCAGTCTTTAAAATAATTGCAATTTCAATTAAGTGAACAGAGGAAAAGCAAAGAGAGGGAACAGGACAATGTGATGGGACCAAATTTGATACGGGTCTGGATTCCTAAAGCCAGTTGTCAAGGTTACCGGAGAAAGTTAGCACTACTCACCCCTTATCCTTCTTAGCTGTCTCTGATTATTACAGTTTGAAGAATTAGTGAGATAACTATACTTCTTCGTGATTAAAGATTTCTCTTAATGCTGCCAAACCCAACTAGAGAAACTGTAGAAACTCCTGACTTTTCCTATACTTAATGTGCTCTCCAGGCACAAGAGGAGTGTACAGAGAGATCACTGAAAATAAAATGATAGTTCAAATTTGAGATAAGATTTTCCTGCAGTTCCAAGTGCTTTATCCATGTTCACAACTATGGGGATCTTTGAAAACAAAGGCTACTCTGCTCTTGCTCTCCTTGAGACCAACTTTAATTTGGAACCAGCTATAGATTTGCAAGAGAAAATTCTCAAAGATATTTTCAGCTGCTAAACTTCTTCCTTAGGCCCATTTATTCGAACCTTAGTTTTCCTGAGGAGCCTATTGAGATATAAATTAAGAGTAATTTGCATATATCTAATTAAAATTGTTCCTGCACTATTATTGAAAGAATTATGGTTTTCAGAGGAGATGAAAGCAGTGTGTCTTAGCAATCTTCATCATGGCAAACAAAGATGAGAAGCTGATGTGATAGAGAAAATCTATGGTAACTTGATATTTTAAGGTAATTTGAGTGTGCTGACCCCACTACGCATAATTCCTTTGTTCCCACAGTCTATTTTAAACTATACTTGGGTTCTCTTGAGACTT